ATGATAATTACCATCCACGAAATATATATACGTATATATATATATCAATAACAACGCTGCGACTAGCCAAGGACTCGAACCCATGCTGCTTTGGCCTGCCTCATGGTGGGCGAAAACTCATGACGCCTTAATCCACTGGACCATACAATCCTTAAGAGTACCGCATCCAGCGGAACTGGATGTTGTACTCGCTACCCAAGGACATACGATGGTGTGGATGACTCGAGGCTAATTTCATTCTAGTCCATGTTTGGTGTACTAGTACAACTCGTTCGTGGTCACAATAATATAAAATATTGCTCGTTGTACTAGTACACCAAACAGGAACTAGAATGAAATTAGCCTAGAGTCATCCACACCATCGTGTGTCCTTGGGTAGCGAGTACAACATCCAGTTCCGCTGGATGCCACCCCGCCTCAGTGGGATACGGCCGATGTGTTCAAAGAAATATATATATATATATATATATATATATATATATATATATATATATATATATATATATATATATATATATATAATATATATATATAATATATATATATATATATATATATATATATATATATATATATATATATATATATATATATATATATATATATATATATAATATATATATATATATAATCTGTAACAGGTACGTGGGAGCATCCTGACATACAGATCATCTCAGTGACATGATAAAGTAAGTGTTTTTGAGACGACTCTAGCAAGGTTACCTTGTTCCTTCCACCACTTGTGTGTTGGGACTTACACCGGCTCTTACCTGCCTACTCGACTCTGATTCTCACCACATCACTGGACTTTCTATGTTCAGGCTATAGGTCTAGGTACTTTCTATGGGTACCTGACACTCCCTTCAGGTACTTGACACTTCCTCCAGGTAGCTGACACTTCCTCTAGGTAAATGGCATTTCCTCCAGGTACCTGACACTTCCTCCAGGTACCTGGCACTTCTTCCAGGTACCTGGCACTTCTTCCAGGTACCTGACACTTCCTCCAGTTAACCGACACTTCCTCCAGGTACCTCACACTTCTTTCCGGTACTTGACGCTTCCTACAGGTACCTGACACTTCCTCCAGGTACCTGAAACTTCCTCCAGGTACCTGACACTTCCTCCAGGTACTTGATTAAAAGAGTAAGACCGAAGTCTAGTTAATCCTTTCAAAACTGTGCTCTCTTGAACCTCCTGGGTCACCTTTGAACTTTCTGGGTCACCCTTGAATCTCCTGGTTCACCCTTGAACCGCCTGGGTCACATTTGAACCACCTGGGTCACCTTTGAATCTCTTGGGTCACATCTGAACCTCCTGGGTCATTTTTAAACCACCTGGGTCACCTTTGAACCTCCTGGGTCATTTTGAACCTCCTGGGTCACCTTTGATCCTCCTGGGACACTTTTGAACCTCCTGAGTCACTTTTGAACCTTCTGGGTTACCTTTGAATCTCCTGGGTCACCCTTGAATCTCCTGGGTCACCTTTGAACCTCCTGGGTCACATTTGAACCTCCTGGGTCACCTTTGAATCTCTTGGGTCACATTTGAACTTCTCGAGTCACTTTTGAACCTCCTGTGTCACATTTTAACCTCTTGGATCACCCTTGAACCCCTTGGTCACATTTGAACCTCATTGGTCATTTTTTAACCTCCTGGGTCACCTTTGAGTCTCCTGGATCACCCTTGAATCTCCTGGGTCACCCTTGAACCTACTGGGTCACCCTTGAGCCTCCTGGATCATCTTTGAACCTCCTGGGTCACCCTTGACCCTCCTGGGTCACCCTTGAACCTCCTGGGTCACCTTTGAACCTCCTGGGTCACCTTTGAACCTCCTGGGTCACCCTTGAACCTTCTGCACCATCCTTGAACCTTCTGGGTCACCCTTGAACCTCCTGGGTCACCCTTGAACCTCCTGGGTCACCTTTAAACCTCCTGGGTCACCCTTGAACCTCCTGGGTCACTCTTGAACCTTCTGTGCCATCCTTGAACCTTCTTGGTCACCCTTGAACCTCCTGGGTTACTCTTGAGCCTCCTGGGTCACCCTTGAACCTCCTGGGTCGCATTTGAACCTTCTGAGTCACCCTTGAACCTCCTGGGTCGCCTTTGAACCTCCTGGGTCAGCCTTGAACCTTCTGAGTCAGCCTTGAACCTTCTGGGTCACTTTTGAACCTCCTGGGTCGCCTTTGAACCTCCTGGGTCACCCTTGAACCTCCTGGGTCACCCTTGAACCTTCTGTTCCATCCTTGAACCTCCTGGGTTACTCTTGAGCCTCCTGGGTCACCCTTGAAAATCCTGGGTCGCATTTGAACCTTCTGAGTCACCCTTGAACCTCCTGGGTCGCCTTTGAACCTCCTGGGTCACCCTTGAACCTCCTGGGTCACCCTTGAACCTTCTGTTCCATCCTTGAACCTCCTGGGTTACTCTTGAGCCTCCTGGGTCACCCTTGAACCTCCTTGGTCATCCTTGAACCTCTTTGGTCATCCTTGAACCTCCTGGGTCAGCCTTGAACCTCCTTGGTCATCCTTGAACCTCCTTGGTCATCCTTGAACCTCCTGGGTCAGCCTTGAACCTCCTGGGTCGTCTTTGAACCTCCTGGGTCACCCTTGAACCTTCTGGGTCGTCTTTGAACCTCCTGGGTCACCCTTGAACCTCCTTGGTCATCCTTGAACCTCTTTGGTCATCCTTGAACCTCCTGGGTCAGCCTTGAACCTCCTTGGTCATCCTTGAACCTCCTTGGTCATCCTTGAACCTCCTGGGTCAGCCTTGAACCTCCTGGGTCGTCTTTGAACCTCCTGGGTCACCCTTGAACCTTCTGGGTCGTCTTTGAACCTCCTGGGTCACCCTTGAACCTTCTGGTCAGCTTGAACCTCCTGGGTCACCCTTGAACCTTCTGGGTCGTCTTTGAACCTCCTGGGTCACCCTTGAACCTCCTTGGTCATCCTTGAACCTCTTTGGTCATCCTTGAACCTCCTGGGTCAGCCTTGAACCTCCTTGGTCATCCTTGAACCTCCTTGGTCATCCTTGAACCTCCTGGGTCAGCCTTAAACCTCCTGGGTCGTCTTTGAACCTCCTGGGTCACCCTTGAACCTTCTGGGTCGTCTTTGAACCTCCTGGGTCACCCTTGAACCTTCTGGGTCGTCTTTGAACCTCCTGGGTCACCCTTGAACCTTCTGGGTCGTCTTGAACCTCCTGTGGTCACCTTGAACCTCTGGGTCTCTTTGAACCTCCTGGTCACCTTGAACCTTCTGGTCGTCTTTGAACCTCCTGGGTCACCCTTGAACCTCTGGGTCGTCTTTGAACCTCCTGGGTCACCCTTGAACCTTCTGGGTCGTCTTTGAACCTCCTGGGTCGTCTTTGAACCTTCTGGGTCGTCTTTGAACCTCCTGGGTCGTCTTTGAACCTCCTTGGTCACCTTGAACCTCTTGGTCAGTCTTGAACCTCCTGGGTCACCTTGAACCTCCTGGGTCGTCCTTTGAACCTCCTGGTCACCCTTGAACCTTCTGGGTCTCTTTGAACCTCCTGGTTGTCGTTCTGTTGAACCTCCTGGGTCACCCTTGAACCTTCTGGGTCGTCTTTGAACCTCCTGGGTCCTTGAACCTCCTGGGTCATAACCTTCTGTCTTTGGTCAGTCTGTTGTGTAACCTCCCTGGGTCACCTTGAACCCTGAAGATCTGTCCAGTTATAACTTAATACCTCCTGGGGGTACATAATAAACGTCGATATGTACTTGCGTAGTATATAGACTCTAGGTAGTTATGTCTATAGCAGTATTATAGGTCTGTGCGTAGTATATGTACTACTGAGTAGCTTGTAACTTCAGTGAAGATGTCTATATGTAATCATGGTACTGAATAGCTAGTAGTACATTGAACTCATTGGTAGTACTATAGTAACTATGGTCGTTTTGTACTCTGGCAGAATGGTATATTGAACTATGCGAGTCACTTGAATAGTCTGTCGTATTTAGTACTGCCTGGTCACATTGAATACCTACTAGGTCAGTAGTTATGAACTCTGGTCAGTTGAATCTCTGGGTGTCAGTTTAGAACTATGCAGTAGTATTTGAACTCCTGAGGTCAACGTAGTAATATGGTACTATTGAGCAGAGTAACTAGTACTAATAGCTGAGTATATAGACTATAGCAGTGTAATAATGAACTAATAGCGGTATATTAACTATGGTACTAATGCAGTATGAATCTGTACTTTGAGCGTATAATAAATTACTAATAGCAGTAGTAATAATAGTACTAATACAGTAGTAATAATTACTAATACATAGTATATAGTACTAATACAGTATAATAATAGTACAATAGATAAATAATAGTACTAATAGCAGTATAATAATAAGTACTATAGAGTAATAATACAATATAATAGTACTAATAGAGTAGATAATAATTAAATAATAAATATACTAATAATAGTATAATAGTAATATAAGTAATAATAATATACTAATAGCATAGTAAATAATAATAATACAGTAGTAATAATAGTACTAATAGCAGTAATACTAATAGACTAATATCATATAATAAATATATAATAGCAGTAGTAATAATAGTAACTAATAGAGTAATAAATACTAATACATATAATAATAGTATAATAAGTATAATATATACTAATAATATAATAATATATAATAGCATAGTAATAATATACTAATAAGTAGTAATAATAGTACTAATAGCAGTAGTAATAATAGTACTAATAGCAGTATAATAATAGAACTAATAGCAGTAGTAATAATAGTACTAATAGCAGTAGTAATAATAGTACTAATAGCAGTAGTAATAATAGTACTAATAGCAGTAGTAATAATAGTACTAATAGCAGTAGTAATAATAGTACTAATAGCAGTAGTAATAATAGTACTAATAGCAGTAGTAATAATAGTACTAATAGCAGTAATAATAATAATATTAAACAAAAATAACCCATAGAGAACAAACACCTTCAAGAATCATCAAACACCTGCCGGTGGTTCTTACCTTCCGGTATACAGGTGTTGCTTCTTGAGAGTGCTCTTGACACCGTTGGCCTCCAGCTCCTTCTCCAGGTGCTTGATCCTCATCCTGGCCATGTCCAGCTCGTGTTTCACCTTCCAGATGTGGGTGTCACAGAGTGGGTCACGGCAGCGGTGACGCCGTAGCTTGTCCGTGGCCTCGTACACAGCACCTCGGAAGGTGAGGGACTTGCCCATACTCTGAAGGAGGAGGATGTGTATTGTAGGTGCTCTGAGGGAGGGAGATGTGTATTGTAGGTGCTCTGAGGGAGGGAGATGTGTATTGTAGGTGCTCTGAGGTGAGGAGATGTGTATTGTAGGTGCTCTGAGGGAGGGAGATGTGTATTGTAGGTGCTCTGAGGAGGGAGATGTGTATTGTAGGTGCTCTGAGGGAGGGAGATGTGCATTGTAGGTGCTCTGAGGGAGGGAGATGTGTATTGTAGGTGCTCTGAGGGAGGGAGATGTGTATTGTAGGTGCTCTGAGGGAGGAGATGTGATTGTAGGTGCTCTGAGGGAGGGAGATGTGCATTGTAGGTGCTCTGAGGGAGGGAGATGTGTATTGTAGGTGCTCTGAGGAGGAGATGTGTATTGTAGGTGCTCTGAGGGAGGGAGATGTGCATTGTAGGTGCTCTGAGGGAGGGAGATGTGCATTGTAGGTGCTCTGAGGAGGGAGATGTGTATTGTAGGTGCTCTGAGGGAGGAGAATGTGCATTGTAGGTGCTCTGAGGGAGGGAGATGTGTATGTAGGTGCTCTGAGGGAGGGAGATGTGTATTGTAGGTGCTCTGAGGGAGGGAGATGTGTATTGTAGTGCTCTGAGGAGGAGATGTGCATTGTAGGTGCTCTGAGGGAGGGAGATGTGTATTGTAGGTGCTCTGAGGGAGGAGATGTGTCATTGTAAGGTGCTCTGAGGGAGGGAGATGTGTATTGTAGTGCTCTGAGGGAGGGAGATGTGTATTGTAGTGCTCTGAGGGAGGGAGATGTGCATTGTAGGTGCTCTGAGGGAGGGAGATGTGTATTGTAGGTGCTCTGAGGAGGGAGATGTGCATTGTAGGTGCTCTGAGGGAGGGAGATGTGTATTGTAGGTGCTCTGAGGGAGGGAGATGTGTATTGTAGGTGCTCTGAGGGAGGGAGATGTGTATTGTAGGTGCTCTGAGGGAGGAGATGTGCATTGTAGGTGCTCTGAGGGAGGGAGATGTGTATTGTAGGTGCTCTGAGGGAGGGAGATGTGTATTGTAGGTGCTCTGAGGGAGGGAGATGTGTATTGTAGGTGCTCTGAGGGAGGGAGATGTGTATTGTAGGTGCTCTGAGGGAGGGAGATGTGTATTGTAGGTGCTTCTGAGGGAGGAGATGTGTATTGTAGGTGCTCTGAGGGAGGGAGATGTGTATTGTAGGTGCTCTGAGGGAGGAGATGTGTATTGTAGGTGCCTGAGGAGGAGATGTGATTGTAGTGCTCTGATGGAGGGAGATGTGTATTGTAGGTGTACTGAGGGAGAGAGATGTGTATTGTAGGTGCTCTGAGGGAGGGAGATGTGTATTGTAGGTGTACTGAGGGAGAGAGATGTGTATTGTAGGTGCTCTGAGGGAGGGAGATGTGTATTGTAGGTGCTCTGAGGGAGGGAGATGTGTATTGTAGGTGCTCTGAGGGAGGAAGATGTGTATTGTAGGTGCTATGAGGGAGGAAGATGTGTACTGTAGGTGCTCTGAGGGAGGAAGATGTGTATTGTAGGTGCTCTGAGGAAGGGAGACCTGTATTGTAGGAGAGAAGGAGAGGGTCGGGGAGGGGGTGAGTGTTACTCCCTGTTCCTGTGAATGTTACTCCTGGTTCTGTGAATGTTTCTCCTGGTTCTATGAATGTTACTTTCTGGTTCTGTGAGTGTTTCTCCCTGGTTCTGTGAATGTTACTCTCTGGTTCTGTGAATGTTACTCCCTGGTTCTGTGAATGTTACTCCCTGGTTCTGTGTGTTACTCCCCATTGTAACACTCTCCACTCCTGCAGTAGCATTTAATCACCACTCTGCACTATTCCTTTCGCTTGCAGTAAGGTAGAAAGGTCTGGCGTTATGGAATGAGGGGAGATATCTTTCTCGAATCGCTCAGCGACCGAAGCACATAAAGTTTATTAGATTTTCAGTCGAAATGAGTGTTTGGTGGACTAAGTGGACCATGGGAAGGTTTGGTGGGAAAGTGTGGTGGGAATGAAGATAGGGAAAGGTGTAGCAACCCCAAGTGAGGGAGACTGATCACCGCAAATATTTCTAGAGGGAAAGATAGGCAAGATCGGTGAGGACACACACACAAGCTGTGATTCAATCCCTGCAACCACATATAGGTGAGTACACACACACATACACACATACACCCACACACACAAAGAATATTATTAATTTTGTCTACATAATCCTTCTGTCTGTCTGTCTCTGTTACTCACCAGACTGACCAAGGCGCAGCATCCTCCACTGTCCTTCTTGGCCAAGTGTTTACGCACGTACTTGAAGTAGACGTGCTCGAGGGCGAGCAGTACCATGGCCAGTACCATGCCAATCCCCAAGCAGCAGGTAGGCTGACAGGAACTGCTCGATGGCCAGGGGTTCTGAAGCTCTTCTCTGCTGCTTCATGGGTTTACAAGTTCCTGTCATCCAGAACCTTTGTAGGCGCTCTATATCGCCTGTGGGTGGGCGTGGGTGGGCGTGGCGGGAAGAGAAAAGATGTGATAGGTTAGTAAGTTGGTGTTATATCTATATATCTATCTATCTATCTATATAATATATATATATAATATTAATATAATATATATATATTATATATAATATATATATATATATTATATAATATATATTGGCTTTATTTCTTCCTATCTTTCACTCTCTCTCTCTCTCTCTCTCCTCTCCTTTCTTTCCTCTTCATCTGGCGTTGTTCCCATGTTCCATTTTATTTGTCTTCTCCTGACCTGTGTCTCTACTGGGAAACTCTTGTTAAAACTGTTATCTTTTAGTAAAGTTCCCCTTCGTTTTGTGCGTGTGTGTGTGTGTGTGTGTGTGTGTGTTGTGTGTGTGTGTGTGTGTGTGTTTTGTGTGTGTGTGTGGTGTGGTGTGTGTGTGTGTGTGTGTGTGTGTGTGTGTGTGTGTGTGTGTGTGTGTTGTGTGTGTGTTGTGTAGGTGTGTGTGTGTGTGTGTTTTGCATTTTCTAACCTTTTCCCCCAGGATGCGACCCACAACAGTCGACTAACACCCAGGTACCTACTTACTACTAGGTGAACTGAAGGCAGTAGGTGTGTATGGGTGCTCACCTGCACGTCTCGACCAGCACATCTCGCCCGCATGGGGGCTGTATCTGGGGGTCTACAATCCAAACCAACCCGCGCTTGACCACGCAGTCGCAAGCAACATATATGCCTGTATCTCTGCATGTATACATGCCTGGATGTGTATATGTATGTGTGTGCATGTCCAGCTATTCTGGTGGCGTTCCGAAGTGACCTGCTAGGAAGGGTTGTCGGCGGAAAGGTCAGAGGTCAGACATCTCTCTCTCTCTCTCTCCCAGAATTACAGCAGTGATCTACCCACCAACATTGTAAACACTACGCAATATATTGAACTTACATACAGGTCCGTGTGGGTTGAGTGAGTGGTTGAGGTAGCGAGTGTCCTAGGCAACATCTAGCTCCCGTCCTCCCTCACCAGTACCCTCTAACTCACTGGTCACCGTAAAAGGACTCTACCAGTACAAAATTCAACCAGATAGTGTGATGAATGGTTTGAAAAACCGACAAGTTGAAGATTGAGACACTTACGCAGCATATGGGAATCTTTATTCAGGAAACGTTTCGCCACACAGTGGCTTCATCAGTCCAATACAAAGAGGAAGGCGTAAGGAGAGGAGGAGTATGAGGTAATCAGTCCCTCAGCCTGGAGTCGATGTGTTCAGTCCATCAATCTTGTAGAATGTACAGCATAGGGCCGTAGACGTGGCTTATATACTGTAGTGAGGTGAGGTGAAGCAGGCGGAGGCGGGGTCATAGTGGTACCATCCACTAGTCGAAGTAGGTCTTCGTCCAAAGGTTGAACAAGTGTTGAAGAATTCTTTGTAACAAGATCCCATGATGCTGCAGTGTCTGACAGTTGTGATGAATGGTTTGAAAAACCGACAAGTTGAAGATTGAGACACTTACGCAGCATAAGTGCCTCAATCTTCAACCAGATAGTGCTGGGAGAATTACCAACAATGTGTAAACTCAAACGCCAAGTTTCCCGTGTTGTGTAGCATATATTTTCCCCTCTGTTGTGACGACGGTCTTGGCTGGAGGGAGAGGAGGGTGAGGAGAGAGCCTTCTGCTTTACGATCCTTGACTTTCAAGCCTAGATAAGACACGATAGTTCCTAAACTAAGTAGAAATAGTAGAAAGTGTGAACTTACAAGGTCTCTCTCTCTCTCTCTCATTCTCTCTCTCTCTCTCTCTCTCTCTCTCTCTCTCTCTCTCTCCTCTCTCTCTCTCTCTCTCTCCCTCAAATTAATGTTCCCTCAAATTAATGTTAAAACATTTGGTAAAGAAAATTGTGATTACATGAGTGAAAGAGAGAGAGAGAGAGAGAGAGAAGAGAGAGAGAGAGAGAGAGAGAGAGAGAGAGAGGAAGAGACGATCAATAACTATGTCAGGTGGTGGTTTGAGAGAGAGAGGGACAAACACAGCCTGCGGGGAATACCTGCCTCTCATGGGGGGATACTTGCCTCTCATGGGGGGTTATCTGCCTCTCGTGGAGGATACCTGTTTCATATGAGGGGATATCTCTCGTAAGGGGATGTTTGCTTCTCAAGGGAGAGAGAGGCGTGAGAAATGTACTCTAACATGTACAGTTACTCAAGTGTACTCAGCCTAACAGCACTTATACAATGTACTCAGTCTTATAGCACTCATGTACTGTCTAAGAGTACTTATACAATGTACTAAGAACACTTATAAAATGTACTCAGTCTAAGAGAACTTGAAACAGAGAGTGTACTCTAATGAGTACTTGAGAATGTTGATCCTAATGATCCTCTTTGAGAATACTGATCCTAATGATCCTGTTTAAGAATATTGATCCTAATGATCCTGTTTAAGAATATTGATCCTAATGATCCCTCTTAATAATATTGATCCTAATGATCCCTCTTGAGAATATTGATCCTGATGATCCTGTGTTTTCCATCCTAATTAAGAGTCATCAGTCTAATTAAAAGTATTTCGGGTTAAGTAGTCGGTCCAATGTTGCTTAACGGTGTTGCATCAAGTTTAAGAGGATTGAAACCCATTTAAGAGGACTGCATCCTCTTTAAGAGAACTGGATATTCTGTAACAGGATTGGATCCTCTTTAAGAGGATTCGACCCTCTTTAAGAGGATTGGATCCTCTTTAAGAGGATTGGAGCCTTTTTAAGAGGATTGTATCTTTTTTTAAGAGGATTGGACCCTCTTTATGAGAAGTGGATCTTCTTTAAAAGAATTGGTCCTCTTTAAGAGGACTGGATCCTCTTTAAGATGATGGGACTTCCTTTAAGAGAACTGGATCATCTTATGAAGCTTGGATTCTATTTAAGAGAACGGATCCTCTTTAAGAGAACTGGATCCTTTTTAAAAGGTATGATACTCCATAAGGTTTGGATCATCTTTAAGATGATTAGAGTCTCTTTAAAGAGTTTGGATGCTCTTTAAGAGAACTAGATCCCTAAGATTTTTTAATCCTCTTTAAGAGATTTAGATCCTGTTGAAAATATCTGAATTCTTTTTAAGAGGGCTGAATCCTCTTCAAGAGGTTTGAATTCTCTTTAAGAGGTTTGAATCCTCTTTAAGAGGTTTAAGTCCTCTCTAAGACGTTATCATAAGTGAAAAATAATCACTACCTGGGATCTGATATCGTTTACTGATTATTATAACCAAAATTATTTAATAAAAATTATAAATAATGCAGAAAGAAGAAGAGGAAGGAGGAGGAGGAGGAGGAGGAAGAAGAGGACGAGAAGAAGATAAAACTATCATAATGTAATAAGGTAAAGATTTTGTGATCAGTCTCTAAACCTTGTTTAAATAGTTTGAGGTAGTCAGTCCCTCAGCCTCTGAATGTCATCTTTACCTTGTCACCTCTACTGCCTTCCATTCTCTTCAGTTGACTGAAGAAACCTACAGCGTAGGCGAAATACGTCAACAACAAAGATACCTAACTGTTGCACCTGTGACTTACTCACCAAATTTCTATTATTTTTTGGGTTTCTAATTAGCCAAAGGGGAAAAAAAACACACCAGAAATATCTCTTTCGTGTATTTTCTGACTAAATCAGTTTTTTTTCACTTAATGGAAAGTGTGGTTTAGAAGTGCGTGGGTGAAACTGGTTCCGAGGGGCGGCCGGGTCTAGTATTATTATTATAATCATGGGGAAGCGCTAAACCCGTAGGATTATACAGCGCCTGTGGGGGGGGGGAATGGAAGGCATTCAGGCTCAATTCAGGGAACTGGAGCACAGATCCAATTCCCTAGATCAAGAGCCCCTCACCAGCGTCGCCGGGTCTAGTAACTAGCAGGTACGCCAGACGCAAAACAGCCTCGTTAAGCCGCTAACTGCCCTTAACTACCCATTGACGGCCCCGTTTAGCGCAGTTACGGTGTTTGTCATGGAGATAGTGTCGAAGGTTGCTGGTAAACCCCAGTGAGGGAGAGAGATAGATATAGATAGATAGGGGATAGAACTACCCTTATATATATATATATATATATATATATATATATATATATATATATATATATATATATATATATATATATATATATATATATATATATATATACGATACCCCTTTGGATATCACTTCATCCCTGGGTTCCAACACTACCATTCTTACCAGAGCTCCAGTATCACCATCATGGTGCCTAGAGACCATCATCATTTGTGTTTTCTCAGGAGCAAATGTAACCTGCTGTCGGTTATTCCCCTCTGATAGAGCTGTAAGCTGGTGATTGATGTAACTTAGAGGAGCTGGTATTTCCCCTCTCGGATAAGATAATGTCAGAGTACAGTCTGCACGGGATTCAACTGAAGGAAGGTTGCTGAAGTAGGCATTCCATAACAATAGTGTAAGTACACTTACCTGTGGAACACTGGTACCCACTGTGTGTCTTGTAGACTCTGCCCTGCTGAAATTTCTAACGAAGGGGGTGCAACACAGAGCCAAAGACTATCTCTTTCTCTCTCTTTCTCTTCTTCTCTCTCTCTCTCTCTCCACCTCATTTCCTTCATCTTTTGTGTCTCATTATACCACTCTCAAGGATTCTCGTCATTTCCCTTTGAAAGCGTTCCCCTTATTTACCGTGCTTAGAACACCTCTTTCAACTGATCCTTCTCCTCCTGTCCCTCTTCCTCCTTCTCCTCTTCATCCATCTCCTCTATCCTCTCCCTTCCATGTATCAAACTCCTCGCTAATTTCCCATTTCTTTAATCTCACCCTACACCCTAGTTCTCCCTGTCAGTCGCCTCTATCTCATTCTAATATTTATCCTCTCTCTCTCTCTCCTTCGCTTTTATTGGAAATTGTCTCTCGTTCCCTTTTCTCCCTCATTTAGTTTACCTTCTTCTCTCCATTACCTCTCTTCATATTTCGTATTATATACTTGAGACAGATGCAGTTGTTGTGGCTCCAGTAATTCACAGCTAAATTTCTCTTCTCGAGAGAAATTTAAATCGGGGTTTCGCTCCGTGTTGGACCATTATGAACATGTTTCGGTCCGTTCTAGACAATTATCAAAACGTTTCGGTCCGTTCTAGACCATTATCAAAACGTTTCGCTTCGTGTTGGACCATTGTGAAGATGTTTCGGTCCGTTCTAGACCATTATCAAAACGTTTCGGTCCGTATTCGACCATTGTGAAGATGTTTCGGTCCGTTCTAGACAATTATCAAAACGTTTCGGTCCGTTCTAGACCATTATCAAAACGTTTCGCTTCGTGTTGGACCATTGTGAAGATGTTTCGGTCCGTTCTAGACCATTATCAAAATGTTTCGGTCCGTGTTCGGCCATTGTGAAGATGTTTCGGTCCGTTCTAGACCATTATCAAAACGTTTCGATTCGTGTTGGAACATTGTGAAGATGTTTCGGTCCATTCTAGACCATTATCAAAACGTTTCGCTCCGTGTTCGACCATCGTGAAGATGTTTCGATCCGTTCTAGACCATTATCGGTCCGTTAAGGATCATTATGAAGATGTTTAGGTCCGTTTTGGACCATTATGAAGGTGTTTCGGTCCGTTCTAGATTATCATAGCGTTTCGGTCCTTTTTGGACTATTAATCGCGACGTTTCGGGCTATTATGATAAGTTTCAGTCCATTCTCGATCATAATAAACACATTTAGGTCCGTTCGGGAGCATCATTGAAGCGTTTCGGTCCGTTTTAGGCCATTATCCATCAGCGATTGATTGAAAAAGGGTTTGAAATGGAGCGAAACCTCGTGGAGAGTTTCGAATTTGTTGTGAATTAGTTTTAGCTCGACAGTCCACGTCTCACCATTTTTCAATCCCTTTCAGTCTCTTCTTTCTCCTTCCATTTATCTGATTGACTCTCAGTCCACCATCTATATTTCTCCCTTTATACGTCCCCTCACTTCCCCTTTCTATTCTCTTCAGTTTAACCGGTTTTGTCCATCACGTCAGCATCTGAGGATGATTTAGAGCGGATCATACTAGGTAGCATATTGAGGGCAGGCTAGCTTAGAGAGAGAGAGAGAGAGAGAGAGAGAGAGAGAGAGAGAGAGAGCTGATGTCGGTAACAGCTCTTAGCTTGTAAATAAAGTTAGGAACCCTTCACCTAACCTTGTAAAACCCTATGTAGAGAGAAAGAGAGAGAGAGAGTAAAGAGAGAGAGAGAGAGAGAGAGAGAGAGAGAGAGAGAGAGAGAGAGAGAGAGAGAGACAGAGACAAACACACAGACAGACAGTCAAGCAGACAGATAGACAGAGAGAGGCATTCAAAGATAGAGAGAGATAGACAAAGAGAGGGAGAGAGATAGAGAGATACAGAAGAAAGAGAGAGAGAGAGAGAGAGAGAGAGAGAGAGACAGAGAGAGAGAGAGAGAGAGAGAGAGAGAGAGAGAGAGAGAGAGAGAGTGCAGAGGTACCCCTTTCAAGAAGAGGAAACAAAAAGACGAAATTGTACATAGGAAAAGGAAAGAGAACAAGAGTGAACACTGGCGGCAGCAGCAGTGGGAACACCAAAAAAAAAATCGAGAAGAGGGGGCAGAATCCCCCTCCTAAAAAATCTTACACAGAAAGGAAATACAACTGAAGCAAAAACGATAAAAAAATACGAAGCTATGAAAAATAATCAAAATCTTAACTTCTTGATAGGCCTAGGTACTGAGGCCTCCCCATGGCCATTACGTAAGTCATTACTAGAATAAGATATATTAAGAAACATGCAGGAAAGTAAGTGACATAAATGATTTACAAACCCAATAAATTTGGGAATCAGACAGTTGCTCGACATATGGAAAAATTATATTCATTTTTCCACCATTCTTCTCTGTATAGGACTGAAGAAGCCGCTGTGGGTGCCCCATAGCTCGGTTGGTAGCGCACTCTGCTCACACACTGAAGTTCGAGGATCGATCCCCGGTATGGGTGAAAACAGTAGGACATGTTTCCTTAAGACACCTGCTGTCCATGTTCACCCATCGGTAAAATAGGTACCTGGGTGTTAGTCGACTGGTGTGGGTCGCATCCTGGGACAAAACTGACCTAACTTGCGGGAAATGCTCAGCATAACAAGTGGCTTTCTATATAGTAGTATGTCACTGATGTCAGCTATTGTCTGTATTACTTGTATCATGTACTTGTAGAAATAAAGATTATTATTATTATTATTATTATTATTATTATTATTATTATTATTATTATTATTATTATTATTATTATTGTTATTATTATTATTATTATTATTATTATTATTATTATTCATGTTTCACACATGTCTCATCCCACACAGGAAGTGAATTGCGTATTTAATCTTTAAACTGTTCAAATGTAGATCTACGTTTGTACCGGTAACACTCCGGGTTAATGGGCCTCGACATTATGTGAGATTTACTCGCCATGTTGACTGTTTACTAGAGACGGGAAGGAAAGCTCAGTCATCTTGATGACGTGCACAATGTTCAGCAGGATTTAGTTCTACGATTATAAGAGAGGGAGCAAGTTGCCCTCCTGGATGGTTGCTGTCTATCATCCAACTACCAATATGACAGGAGGATAGTACCTCCCTGGATGGTTACTATCCACTAACCAGCTACCAATATAACAAGAGGATAGTACCTCCCTGGATGGTTACTATCCACCAACCAACTACCAATATAACAAGAGGATAGTACCTCCCTGGATGGTTACTATCCACTAACCAGCTACCAATATGACAAGAGGACAGTACCTCCCTGGATGGTTACTATCCACCAACCAACTACCAATATGACAAGAGAATAGTACCTCCCTGGATGGTTACTATCCACCAACCAACTACCTAATCCTACCATCCACTCCCCCTTTTCTGTTCCACTTTATCTCTCACTCTTTCGGTACACAGAGAGACGGAGAGATAGAGGCTCTGGTGAACCATTAGTGTCTCCCACGAGGCCAGCCTTCACGAGGACTGTGTGATGCATTATTCAACATCCAGTGCAACATGCAAATGAGTTACCTGCAACCAAAACAACATTGCAATTCAGGTAAACACATTTGCACCAATCAGCAGCAATTCTAATCATGAACTGAACCTCTGAAAAGATTGGTTCAGCGAGACGTATGATATATGCCAACCATCAATCATCCTTATCATACAGTTAAGTCTGAAGGAAGCAAAGAGGTTGAATGTTGATAATTCATATGCTAATTAATGTGATGCAATTAGCTAAGTGATTAGTAGATAGTGATCCTATGTCAACCTATACTTGGTGTATATCTACCTGGAGGGGTTTCCTGGGATCAACGCTCCTGAGGCCCTGGTCTGTGACCATGTATATCCGGAACGTACTGTGCAGTGTGTGTGTGTGTGTGTGTGTGTGTGTGTGTGTGTGTGTGTGTGTGTGTTTGTAATGTCACCATGCTACCTTACTCTGAGGAAAATTCTCTTCATTCCATCTGTTGCTACTCTTGCAACATTGCATAGCTCCTGATGACGCACTCAGAAGTGTGAAAGTACATAAGCTGAAAATTTCCATCCCCCGTGACTTGTCTTGCATATATATATATATATATATATATATATATATATATATATATATATATATATAAATAAATATATATATATATATATATATATATATATATATATATATATATATATAAAATACATGTATGTAAAATATATAAATATATATATATATATATATATAAATATAATATATATATATAATATATATATATATATAAAATATATAGATCAATACTCTTCATCTTTCTCCTCCTCTCCTTCCCCACTTCCCTCCTACCCTTCTCCTACCCTTCTCCTCCCCTCCTCTTTCCTCTCTCCCTTCCCCTCCTCCATCTCAACTCATTGACAGTGTGGGAATGGCTAACCATTTACCCTAAGATTGTGGTAGTGGTGGCGGCTTTAGTCCCGACTGGCCGGCATTTCAGCCTGAAAATTGTTGTTGATTTATCTCTTGAATTGTGGTAGTGGTGGTGTTGTAGTTGTTGCTTGTGTTGTTGTTGATGTTATTGGTGGTTGTTGTGTTGTTACCAGACCGGGCCGCGAGGGTCAATGCCCCCGCGGCTCGGTCTGGTAAGATGTTAAATAATCTGCGGCCACAGATGTTGATACAGTGTTCTCTTATTGTGGCCACTGCACCCCTGCTTTTCCTCCCCATATCTCTCACTCCAGTGTTAGTAACCATTTCGTCTTAGGCATATGTCGATTAGACAGTGTGCAGATTTAGGAACAGTCTCTCATGTACTTTCTAGGTATATATTATCATGTATCTCTCTCTCCTCCACTCCAGTGAGTACATATTAAGGATTTTAGGGCGTTCCCAGTAATTTAAAAGCTTTATTGGCTCTATATGGGCCTTAAAGGTTCACTGTATGTGTTCCAGCTCCGATATCTCTCCTGCCCTGAAAGGAGCCGTCAACAATGAACAGTACTCAAAGTAAGAGTGCACAAGCTATTTAATGTCTCCATTACCATTATTTCCCCTTGTCTTGATAATACTCACATTTGTTTTCGTAACAAGTACTCACCATTGTCCTTGTAACAAGTACTCATCTCTGTCCTCGTAACAAGTACTCACCATTGTCCTTGTAACAAGTACTCATCTCTGTCTTCGCAACAAGTTCTCACCATTGTCCTTGTAACAAGTACTCATCTCTGTCCTCGTAACAAGTACTCGCCATTGTCCTTGTAACAAGTACTCATCTCTGTCCTCGTAACAAGTACTCACCTTAGTCCTTGTAACAATTACTCACCATTGTCTTCGTAACAAGTACTCAGATCTGTCCTCGTAATAAGTACTCACCTTTGTTCTTGTAACAAGTACTCACCTCTGTCCTCACAAGTACTCACCACTGTCCTCGTAACAGTACTTACCTATGTCCTTGTAACTAGTACTCACCGTTGTCCTTGTAACTCATGAGTTTGTTGTTGAAGAGAGTGAGGTACTTGGATCCCCTGGGGAAGGCGAGTCCATATCCGCTCATTGAGTACCAAGACCCGACTGTTAGAATCTGACAGTCATCGTCTTGACCCACCAGGTAGTCCAGGACTGTCGCGTCGTAGATAAACGCGTCCAGCTCGCTGTAGGAGACAACCATACCCAGGTGAGATAGTGAGAGACAGAGACAGGTGAGTGATAGAGACACAGGTGAGACTGACGGGTGAGAGATAGAGACTGGTGAAAGAAGTGTGTCTGTCAGTCAGTAGTGTGTATAATGTCAGCTAGGAGTGTGTATAATGCATCAGTCGACCTTGGGGAAATGTAACAGTCGACCTTGGGGAAATGTAACAGTCGACCTTGGGGAAATGTAACAGTCGACCTTGGGGAAATGTAACAGTCGACCTTGGGGAAATGTAACAGTCGACTTTGGGGAAATGTAACAGTCGACCTTGGGGAAATGCAACAGTCGATGTTGGGGAAATGCAACAGGGGTTAAACAAGGACGTGAAGAACACAAGTGGAGGATTTAGAGGCGAGGATGTCAACACTAGCCTCGGGGGGAGGGGGAGTGAGAGACGGGAGGGGGAGAGTGAGAGACGGGAGGGGGAGAGTGAGAGTCGGAGGGGGAGAATGAGAGACGGGAGGGGGAGAGTGAGAGACGGGAGGGGAGAGTGAGAGACGGAGGGGAAGAGTGAGAGTCGGGAGGGGAGAGTGAGAGACGGGAGGGGAGAGTGAGAGTCGGGAGGGGGAGAATGAGAGACGGGAGGGGGAGAGTGAGAGTCGGAGGGGGAGAATGAGAGACGGAGGGGAGAGTGAGAGACGGGAGGGGGAGAGTGAGAGACGGGAGGGGAAGAGTGAGAGTCGGGAGGGGAAAATGAGAGACGGGAGGGAAGACGGGATTCAGTGCTCTGAAAATTCCCATTCGTTAGATTACGTACATACAGTCACACCATACAACACACACACACACACACACACACACACACACACACACACACACACACACACACACACACACCACACCACATACACACACACACACACACACACACACACACACACACATACACACACACACACACACACACACACACACACACACACACACACACACACACACACACACACACACAACACACATACAACACACACACAACACACACACACACACATACAACACACATTCACACACACACACACACACGCACACATACAACACACACACACAACACACACACACAACACACACACATACAACACACATACAATACACATACAACACACACACATACAACACACACACACACACACACACATACAACACACACATGCAACACACATACAAACACACACACATACAACACACACATACAACACACACATACAACACACACACATACAACACACACGCACACACACACATAAAACACACACACATACAACACACACACATACACATACAACACACATACACATACAACACACATACAACACACACACATACAACACACATAAAACACACATACACAACAACACACATACAACACACACACAACACACACACATACACACACATACAACACACACACATACAAACACACATACATACAACACACATACAACACACATACACATACAACACACATACAACACACATACAACACACACACAACACACACACATACAACACACAAAACAACACACATACAACACACATACAACACACATACAACACACATACAACACACACACAACACACACACATACAACACACACACACACACACACACACACACACACACACACACACACACACACACACACACGTACAACACACATACAACACACATACAACACACATACAAACACACACACATACAACACACATACAACACACATACAACACACATACAACACACATACAACACACATACAACACACACACACAACACACACACACACACACACACACACCACACACACACACATACAACACGCTCACACAACAACACACACACACACACACACACACACACACACACACAACAACACACATACAACACACATACACATACAACACACATCAACACACATACACATACAACACACATACAACACTCATACAACACACATACAACACACACACATACAACACACACACAACACACACACATACAACACACACACATATACAACACCATACAACACACACACATACAACACACATAGAACACTCATACAACACACATACAACACACACACATACAACACACACACAAAAAACACACACAACATACAACAACACACACCACATACAACACACACATACAACACACACACACATACAACACACACACATACAACACACACACACACATACAACACACACACATACAAACACACACACATACAACACATTACAACACACACATACAACACACACACATACAACACAACACACACACAACACACATACAACACACACACATACAAACACACATACAACCACATACACATACACCATCACAACACACATACACACACATACAACACACATATAACACACAAACAACACACATACACATACAACTCACACACAACACACATACACATACAACACACATACAACACACATACAACACACATACACACACACAACAACACACATATAACACACATACAACACACATATAAACACACATACAACACACATACAACCACCAACAACACACATACAACACACATACAACACACATACACATACAACACACATACACATACAATCACACACACAACACACATACAACACACATACACATACAACACACATACAACACACACACAACACACATACACATACAACACACATACAACACACATACAACACTCACACATACAACACACATACAACACACACATACAACACACATACACATACAACCACACATACAACACACATACACATACAACACACATACAACATACATACACATACACACACATACAACACACACATACAACACACATACAACACACATACACATCAACACACATACAACACAACATACAACACATACACATACAACACCATACAACACACACATACAACATACATACACATACACACACATACAACACACATACACATACAACACACATACAACACACATACACATACAACACACATACAACACACATACAACACACATACAACACACATACACATACAACACACATAAAGCACACATACAACACACATAACAACACACATACACATACAACACACATACAACACACATACACATACAACACACATACAACACACATACACATACAACACACATACAACACACATACACATACAACACACATACAACACACATACAACACACATACAACACACATACACATACAACACACATAAAGCACACTACAACACACATACAACACACATAACACCATACAACACACATACAACACACATACACATACAACACACATACAACACACATACACATACCACACACATACAACACACTACACATACAACACACATACAACACACATACAACACACATACAACACCACAACACATACAACACACAAAAGCACACATACAACACACATACAACACACATACAACACACATACACATACAACACACATACAACACACAACAACACACATACAACACACATACAACACACATACACACACATACAACACACACATACAACACACATACAACACACACACACACACACACATACAACACACATACAACACACATACACATACACACACATACAACACACATCACAACACACACACAACACACACACATACAACACACATACAACACACATACAACACACATAACACAACACACACCACATACACACACACATACAACAAACATACAGCACACATACAACAAACACTAGCCACACATACAACACACATACACACACATACACAACACACTACTGCACACATACAACAAACATACACACACCATACAACAAACACTACGCACACAACAACAAACATACAGCACACATACAACAACATATTCACACATACAACAAACATACACACACATACAACACACATACAACACACCCCCAACACATACAACACACATACAACACACACACATACAACACACATACAACACACATCACAATCACACATACACATACAACACACATACAGCACACAAACAACACACATACAACACACATACACATACAAACACACAATACAGCACACACATACAACACACACAACAACACACATACACATACAACACACAAACAGCACACATACAAACACACATACACAACACACATACACATACACACCACATACAACACACATAACAACACACCACATACAACACACATACAACACACAACACATACAACACACATACACACACATACACATACAACACACATACACACACATACAACACACACACAACACACACAACATACAACACACACAACACACACATACAACACACACACATACAACACACACACATACAACACACATACAACACACACACAAACAACACACACACCACACACATACCACACACACACATACCAACACACACACATATACAACACACACAACAACACACATACAACACACACACAACAACACACACACATAACAACACACATACAACACACACACACATACAACACATGACAACACACACACATACAACGACACACACAACTACAACACACACACATACAACACACAACAACATCACACACACACACATACAACACACATGCAACACACATAACAACACACACACACAACACACAACAACACACACACACACACAACACACACACATACAACACACAACAACACACATACAACACACACACATACAACACACATACACACACACATACAACACACACACACACACACACACACACATACAACACACATATAACACACACACAACACACAACAACACACACATACAACACACATACAACACGCACACAACACACACACACACACACACACATATACAACACACATACAACACACACACACACACAACACACACACATACAACACACATACAACACACACAACACACACA